GCGCCATCTGTTCAAAAATAAAGTTCAACGTAAATATATACTATTTAAATACTAATAAAGTTGGGGTATATATGCTTTCATGATAAACGTGACACAATATAACATTGCGACTACAGTAAAAAAGCTTTTAATGTTCTAAAAACACAGATTTATGAGCAGTATTGGATTTGAAGATGTTAGAAACACACGTCATTGTTGTCATGTGGTGAATTTGGCCAATCGTGAAACAGCTGTGTCGTCATCAACACTCCTGCAGTCGCTCTGAAAAAGCTGCGCCAGCTGAGTCAGCCGGCTGCTCTCGAAACGATATCGCGGTACTTTGATGCTACACGTGACAGTGACGTAGCGTCGGCGCCGGTTCAAGTCGGACAAAATTTCTAACCGGTATGCACTGCTTCAAGTCAGCCGCCGATCGGTTTGCGCGGCGCTGCATGAAGTCGAACGCACCTAATGTGTCATGTGGTGATTGGTTGCTTTAGTCATGTGCCTCGTTTCCCATCGGTTGGATTGTATCATGTGACCCTAATTGTTTGGTATATATAGCCCTCATGTAGCCTTTAGGCTACACTAGCCTACCACCGGCTGGTGAGAGCAGCCGCTTTCAGTCGGGGCGGAATTAAAAGAGGAGACGTCAAGTCGGACACTTTCTGCTCCCGGTAGTGACGCTTCTCACGGTGTTTGCATACTCTTATCACAGATAAATTGAATTAAATGCAATATTGTCAAATACACAGAAAGGTTTTTATGAGCAACAGAAACACTTTTTATATGCTGCTTAATACAGCGTCATCTGTTCAAGAATAAAGTTCAGTATAAACATATAGGCTACTAAATACCAATGAAGTGGGGGTATATTAGGGCTGGGCGATATGGGCAAAAATTCATATCTCTGTATTTTTTGGCCGATTTGCGATATACGGTATATATCTCGGTATTTTCGTTTTTGTATTTGGATTAAAAAAATCAGTATTTAATATATATATATTTCACTTACCGCCCAATGTTGTCCAACAAAACAATACATATTAAAGGCTATGAAAACAAATAAAGTGAATGTAACCATGTAAGCCTTTATATTATGTGCAAAAAAGGGTTAATATCACATTTCATTCTAACATTGTAACAGTGCAATCTAAAAACAAAAATAAGGCTTTTCAAGCGGAAGTTAAATTCACTAAACTAAAAATTAAAATAAATGAGGACAAAAGCACAGAGTTGTGTTAGGCTATTTTGATTAACCCATTACAGTCACTTTACAGTCAGTGCTATCATAAAAATAGACTTACTTGTAGGTTTAAAATTCTACATGTCACATTTATTGTCCAACTACAAATATTTCAGCGAAATGTATATTTTAGTCAGAATTATTGCACTCCTATTTAATTGAGCTCTGTCTGTTTGGCGCGCACAGGTCCAAGTCTGTGAAGTTTAGCGGAGAATCCCAAAGCAGAAGGCTCATGCACTTCTGACAGAAAAATGGAAATATTTCCATGGCTTTCCAACATTTACAGATGGAGAATATACCTGTGAAATGTAAGTTATGCATTCAGGAAGACAGCACATCTTAAACACATTAAACAGCGCGAGTAGCCTAGTGCACACGCAGCCTTTCTTTCAGAGCACATGACGGGCCGAGCCACTTAAATTAATATGCGAAATGAAACTATAAACAATGTCTTACCAGTTTTTAAAGGCCTCAATATGAAGCTTGTCACATGTTTAGAACAAATTGGATTATGCACTTTCTCCGCAGCAGCTCAGTCTGTGTCCTCCGCTATATTTTCAGATGCGCTCGTATCAAACTACTGTATATCGATATAAACTGTATTGCCTCATATCGAATCGCTTATAAAGAAAATATCGATATATCGTACAAACTCGATATACCGCCCAGCCCTAGGGTATATATGCTTTTATCAGTGTTTTTGATCAAAATGACTCAAGATAACAGTGCGACTACACTAAAAAAGCTTTTACTCGTATAAAAACAGATTTGTGAGCATTATTGAAATCGAATTGTTAGAATAAACACGCAACACACGTCGTGCTTGTCATCACAGAATCTGACCAATGAGAATAAAGTGTGTAGTCATCAAGGCTCTCGCAGCCGATTTTAAGCAACTGCAGCGCCTGACCTCGGCGGCTGGTCTCGTTTTGCTCTCGCGGTACTTTGATGGCACATGGCGGCTTCAGTGCTGATCAAAGTCGGACAAATGTTCTAAACAGAATGCATTGCTTTTGTCAGGCGGCAGCCAATCTTTGCGAGTCGAACAAGCCTTTTGTCTCTTGTTGTGTATTGATGTTGTAACCTGCTGTCTGTGAGTCAAGTCTGTTCATGCCAAGT